GGCGACGACGGGGCCGTAAAGGACGGCGACGGGGCCGTAAGGGGTGGCGACGGGGCCGCTAAGGGTAGCGCGAGGGGCCTCTAGGAGGGCGCGACGTGAGGGCGGCCTACGGGGCGCACCTCGGGCAGAAAAAAAGATCGAGTTCAGTGGTGGGCCCTGAGAAGCGTTCCCACGAGGGAACCTGCTCTATACCATGTGAGAATGGGGAATGGATGAACTAGGAAAGAGGTGGGTACAAGTAGGAAAACCTAGAAATGTTGTTCCCTATATAGTCTACCCCACTACAGCCTACACAGATTATAGCATATAAGTTTGACAAAGGAGACCTTCTAGAGGTACATGAGAGGTCCCAAGGGGCTATGGAAGGCAATAGAGATGAACAAAAGACTTGTTCCACGAATAAATGGGTATGCGTGGATGGGCGTTACTCTCATCCAAACGAGGCCTGCATTGTGACCTTCGTGGGCCCTGTCACTCACAAAATAATGCACCAACTGACCCTGAATGCACCAAGTGACCCTGAATGCACCAAGTGACCCCGAATGCACCAAGTGATCCTGAATGCACCAAGTGACCAAGTCGAGGTAAACGAGAAGGTTTCCTCACCCTTGCTAGAAGGGCTCGCATTTGCGGACGGCCTAAAGCAGTTAAGTGCGATGGGGCTGCACATAAAAGGCGATATTTTTTATGCTGGCAGTCTTTTTTAGGCTGCAATTACAGGCTTATAAATTGCACATCAGAAAGATGTGCGGCACAAGGCAAGAACAATGTACGGAAGAAACCCCGTCTGTGCATGCATAAGGGGTGGAAGGAACGGCGGCTGAATGTTCCACATTTGTTCGAGCAACCACGGCTGAACGGGCCTCGAGTCCGGATGGAGCCATGGTCGCACATACCTCTTGGGCATCCATACGTGAGCCAGTCATCAACATCCAACGGGTCGGTATCCAAAAACTCTGGGAACTCGACCCACATCGAACGCATAGTGTTCCAGTGTCGCGGCTTACAACGAATACAATGATGAATGGAGAGCCTTGGAGTTCTTCAGGGGGTGGAGGTCGAGATGATAACGGTGAGATGCCCAATAAGCATGTTCCTGTCATATTCCTGCTTTCCAGCCATCATCGTATATTGCTGTGCATTTCGTTTCTTCCACTCATCGTCCTACTTTCCAACCATGGTCGTACCTTGCTGTCCATTCATAACTTCCTGTGATTCTCCTCCTTTCCAGCCATCGTCGTACCTTGCTGTCCATTTCGTAATTTCCTACCATTTTCCTGCTTTCCAACTATCGTCGTACATTGCTGTGCATTTCGTTTCTTCTAGTCATTGTCCTTCCAGTCATTGTCCTTCCAGCCCTCGTCGTACCTTGCTGTCCATTTCATAACTTCCAGACATTGTCCTACTTTCAGCCATCCTCGTACCTTGCTGTCAATTTTTTAACTTCGTGTCTTTTTCCTGCTTTCCAGCCATCGTCATACCTTGCTGTCCATTTCATATTTTCCTAACATTTTCCTACTTTTCAGCCATCGTCGTACCTTGCTATCCAGTTCGTAACTTCTAGTCAATGTCCTACTTTCCAGCCATCATCGTACGTTGCTGTCATTCTCGTAAACCGACTCTCACGTTTTTCGCTATATTCCCCTTTCATAGGTGCATAGCAAGTGGAGCTGCATGCTTCTTCCATGGACACGATCCATCCAGACAACGTGGAAGGCAATTTGCGCTGGATGGAAAGGGGTAGTGCTGAAAGGAAGCGTAGTGGGGCCGGTGCTGACCTAGTTGACAAAGAGCACCTCAACCATGTGATGCTGAGACGCAATACGGTGGCGAAGGAGGGGCAAACTCCGTCAGCAGACCGTATTGCACATGAACTAGCCGTGTCTGCAGACCATTGGGCAGGGATTCACACCAGCTGCGGGCATGTAGGTGTGAAGTACCTCAATGCGTGTTAGAGCAATAGGAAATGGAGAGTGTGGTTTACGAACCCGGTTCACAGGCCTATTTGGCACTTCGAAAATGGCTTGCTAACTATTGTAGTGCGAGTGAAATGAAATCCTACGTTCAAGGTGCAAGTAATTGGGTAAATGAGTCATTCCATTCACTAGTATCAAAGCATATTTAAGGGAACCAAACAGTGTCACGTCTTTCAAGGGAACCAAACGGTGTCACGTCTTTCAAGGGACCTGCTCAAAATACCACCCGCTCACGTCTTCCAAGCGGATTCAAGGGAGTACACTAGAATTGATCTTTCGGTCTTGCAATCGAACCAAACGCTGTCACGTCTTTTCGTGGCAATCAAGACACGCTTACGAAAGGCAACTAGGATGCGGCTGTCAGAGGTCCACTGGTGATCCCCGATCGATCCTAGGGAAGGGTTACAGGCACGTTTGCCTGGGGGGTTATGGGCGCACTGACCCGCTACTGAAACAAGCCCTTTTATCCCAATGGTCCAGTGGTTGGGATTCTGAGATGGTATCCAGAGCGAAGGTCTCGGGTTCGAATCCCGGTGTATGCACTTCGGGCATCCCAGTGCGGGGGGGTGTCAGAGGTCCACTGGTGATCCCCGATCGATCCTAGGGAAGGGTTACAGGCACGTTTGCCTGGGGGGTTATGGGCGCACTGACCCGCTACTGAAACAAGCCCTTTTATCCCAATGGTCCAGTGGTTGGGATTCTGAGAGCGGCGTGGTAGCTTGTCGGACATAGACTGGAGCTGGTTAGACAAGCTGATAACAGATTGGCGTGATATTGGGCTGGAATAGGATGATGTAGCCCCATCTACTCGAATGAAGAGGACGTCGAGCCATCGGCACCGCTGCAAGTTGATGCAACCCCTTATATCTCAACACCCACTAGCTCATCCCAAATATAGCCACCTCTTACTCCCCAAGCAGGAACCACTCCCACCAATGTCGCTGTCATGCCTGCCACCCCCCTAACCATCTGCTCATGTTTACCTCCCCTTGTGGCCATGCAACACCAATTTCTTGGGCAACTAAGCAAAGGAGGTCGAAACGCAATCTCCACCCTGTGGCTGCGTGCAGACCACTATTTCGTATGCACATGCACTTGTCTTTACCCTTGGTTGATGACATGCCCGACAGCTGAATGCAAACATGTTATTGTGCTTGTTCGTTTGTGACTCGCCATATTTTCAAAGGACATCACCAACCTCATATGATGGGGTTGGGGCCATGCCAAGTGTGCATCGCCCCTTAAAACATCCACGACGGATATTAATTATGTAAACCAAATGTCTTTTTTGGGTTACTATGGTCCCGATGCCAAAACCGAGTTTCTCGTGTAGTCATATGGTTCAACAGTTCACTGATGCACATGTGCATGTGAGTACACGCGCTTAGGAGGCCGATATGGCGGTTAGGAGGCCGATAGACGGGGAAGCACACATGCTTGAGGTGAGCATCGTGGATCTAGTTTCTCTACCAACGCAGCAGCATGGGCCGTATGGACGGACAGCTGGTTATGCTGTCAGGGAGAGAGAGAGACGAGGAAAGCGGGGGAGTACCACCCTTTTCTGTAACAGCACAGGGGGGTACGTTTTGCCCCATTGATTCTTGAGACTTGGGTTTGTTTGGAGGGGAGATTCCGATAGTGGTTACATTAGTAAGGAGATGTGCATCTAAAGGTGACTCTTAAGAAAGGCGTGGGAAGGGGCTACTGTTCAGGTTTCTCGGCATGCTTGGTTGGGTCCTTGACAGCTACGATAGGGGTATCCTTGCAAAGAGCGCAGGCATGTGTGATCCTTTTGCGAGCAGCATACGCGCCGGGTGATTGCGAGGTGGACTAGGCGGATGGACGAGGGGAGGAGCAAGCTTTCAGGTTGGATGTGGATGTGATATACTTGATAGATATGCATTTGTAGACATCATAGGGAGGGGACGAAATCTGGGAGTTTGAGTTAGGGGTTGTCAGCACTAGGGTTTCCTAGGGCCTAGTTTCCAATTTATGTGTTTTATACATAGTTGTAAATCATATATACATATATATTAATTCAGTTATAATGATATCAACTAAATCAATTACTTGAAACCTTTATATTCTATAGGATCGCATAAATAGCCCTTCCAACCTTTAATAAAAAGCATGAGCCTTCTTGTTTGTGCAGGGTATCTTCAGATAATCTTCAGCGCATATGAGTTGAGAATGTGTTTACATGCTTCTGGTTGTAACGAATAATTACGTCGCGGAACCCTCTGACAGCATCTGTCAGCAAACAAGCCATGCCGCTTTGTGTTGATAGGTGTCGTCACGGTTCGCACTTTTCGTTCTGAAACTGATGGAGTGAGCGGGAAACTGGCGCGATCAGGCCTCTTGCGAGTGCCTTCACCAATCAGGGTCCGGAATTTTCCGCACTGCTCTGGTGCCACTGCCCGGGAGGGAGCCAAGCAACCAACCCAGACACCTTCAGCCAGCTTGAACGTCAATCTCAAGGCGGTCCGAAAACCAGGGTCAAGTCCCACCCAAGGCACAACACCAGATTAGGTGCGTGGAGTGACACACTTTTTCTACCTTCAGCGGTATGGTTTGGTGGATAGCGTTACCAGGCGGTAAATACCAAAAATGAGTATTAACCGTGTGTAAAGCTTAATCAACCGTACTAGCGATCAGTCAAGTTGAGGAACGAGGTGAACAAATAAGGTTCTAGCAGCGATGCAGCCAGCCGCAGGAGTCAGAAAGTCTTGACTGTTGTTGGCCCCCTTCACTGACTCGGCAGGGAGGCAGATCTTCATCTCTCAGTGGCTCTTCTTACTTGCCACGCCTGTGTCTCCATGGTTGATTGGAATGATCCAGGGGGGAGCAGGTTTATATATTATTGTGGAAAACGAGGCTATTTAAGTTTCACGAGTCGCGTGCGCGTGCTGCAAGTCTGATAGATACTTAGCAGTGGGCGTCATGCAGGCTAAAAAACGGATTCGTTGAGGTGCAGTCTGTTAAAACCAAATAGTATCAGTAGGGAAAATTTGAGTGCCTGACAAGATGTTTAAGGCGTTTGGATCCAAGAAGGAGAAGTTCGAGTTCCGGTTTAGGTTTCATGCTACTCGGGTAAGCAGCAGTCAGCGTTTCATCCGTTACTTACTGTCAGCGTTTCATGCACATTCAGCTGTGTCTGGATAGCCACGTTTCAGTTATGCGTCGTTTATCTTAGAACTACGGTTTCCACTGTGCACTTGGTCTCTGCATTAGCACGAGCATTAGGCTTCTCACATTCACCTGTTTCATTTGGGTTTTCCACCCGTCCGGGTCAGTGAGCCTTTATCAGTGAGCCTTTATCAGAGTCACAATCGCTGCTTCCCTGGAGATCGCTTCAGGTTGGTGAAGGCGCTTCTTCCGGTAGATACCCGAACAACAGGCCTTTCTCCACTTCTTTCACTCTTAACTCACGCATTTTCCTCGTGCGCGCGTTGCTGGGCCAGCCCTTGCAACACACAGCAGGCACCAGCGACGAGGTTCGAGAGGCTGGTGGTGTCGCTGATAAGGGGGTCCGTTCCTAAGCCGTGTCTGAAATAGCTAACAACTTAAACGTGTATTTCCGTTTGTACCCTATCTGTCCTTGAAATACACGGCAGGTGCCGGCGACGGGGTTCGAGAGGCTGGTGGTGTCGCTGATTCCGGTGGACACGGGGAAACTCGAGGGACAGACGCCCAAGGGAGTGGTGAAGAATGGCACGTGCACATGGACCGACACCGTCACCGAGGTCACTCGCCTCGCCAGGAACCCCAAGGGGAAAGGCTACGAGCAGAAGGTGTACCGGCTTATCGTGTCCACGGTGAGTTCTGGGTTGACCAATAAATAAAATTCAAAGGTAGTCCTGCTTATAGTATCTACGGCGACCTGTTTTTGAGGCGTTTTAGAGCAAGGGTGCGAGCAGACGGTGTGCTGGCTTGATGTGTCCGCGGTGAGCGCAGGATGGTGCTTCATCGAGTGGTTTCGTTTGGCACGCAACGCTTGCGCACGCTTTTAGAACATTGCAACGCAGAGATTCTATACAGAAAAAACAACGTTTTGTAGTCCACCGCATACTGGAGGCTCAAGACTGCTATTTTCATTCCTTACCTCTTTGGCTTGCTTGACGGTAAAATCTCTTATTTATCTCGGCTCTGTACGTCCCTTCTCATCTCCTGACCTCCGTTGTACGAGTTACAGGGCTCCACGCGAGGCGGCATTCTAGGCGAGGCGACTCTGAACCTCGCAGACTTTGCGGGCTTTAACCAGCTCGACCAGCGCGCGCTGCCGCTCAAGTACTGCCCCGCAGGCACCGTGCTGCATGTGAGTGGCCGTGCCTGGCGTTCCCTTCTTGTTGTACTTTCTTATCTGCACTGCGCTGTCTTCTGTTCTTCTCATTCTGCGTGCTTATCTCTGCGTTTCCTTGTGTTTCCTGCACGGACGCTGAGGTGTCTTAGAAGCTGACTTTATGTCCGTTACCTTTCATTGCTCGTGTTTCCTGCTCGGCCACTGTGTTTCAGGTGACCATTCAATGCTCGTCTCGTGATCCCAGGTCAGCCATTGCTCCCTTGCAGCACGAACCCCCCTCTGTAACCGCTTGTAACTAGCATTATTCTATAACTAGTACCACATTTGTACCTGTCACCTCTTGACTTGCTAATGTGATACTCCATGCGTTTCGTTTTCTCCTGTATTCACCCTGTCATTTCACCTTCTCAATCCACTTACCGTCTTGCGAGTCTCTGTTCTACTCGTTCCCGCATGGCAGGGAGGGCGAGGAGTCGGACACTGGGCAGAGCGAGAACGAGGAGGAACTCACGCCCAAGAAGCCAGCCGGCAAAGCAGCTGCTGCTGCTGCTGTAGGGGCAGGCGCAGGAACAGGCGCAGCAGCGGGCGCAAGGGGAGCAGGGGGGGCAGGGGGCGGGGTGCATGGAGCGGCGGCGGCAGGGCCGAAGCGGATGAGTAAGAGCAAGTCGGACGCTAGCGACGTGCTGTCGAGCATTGACCTGCCCAACACCACCACGCCCACCAAGGGGCAGGTGAGTGCAGCACAGGAATAGCACGGGACATGTAGGCGCGGGCAAGGGCAGGTACCCGCAGCACGGGACAAGGTAAGCTGGAGAATGTCTGTATGGTTTGTATGCGAGCGACCTGGTGCTGTCGAGCATCGACCTGCCCAACACCACCACGCCCACCAAGGGGCAGGTGAGCGCTTGAAAGGGGCAGGTGTGCGCTGGCAAGGGGCAGGTGTGCGCTGGCAAGGGGCAGGTGTGCGCTGGCAAGGGGCAGGTGAGCGCTGGCAAGGGGCAGGTACGCCTGGAGCACGTTTGCTGAGTTTCTTTTTCCCTGGAGCATGTATTTCGTATGTTTTTCTTCCGAGATTTGAACCTACCAGAAGAGTCATCTGAATCTCAGCCCCTTAAGGCATTCCCTGTCCCTCCATCTTTCGGACTTGCAGAAGCACTACCACGAGCCAAGTAACAACCATCATCACCACCATCACCATCAGCAGCAACAACAGCAGCATCAGCAGAGAGGAGCCCAAGTTGCGGCGACCCCTTCCATCGGTCGCTCTTCCAGCCTTCCGTCGAATCAGGTCAGTTGAGACTTCATTATCGCGTAGCAGGGCGGTTGGGCAGGTACGGGAGAGTAAGCAGGTAGGGTGAATGGCTTCACCGATATAGAGCTCTTACGACCGCCCAATCCCACTGACGTGTCTACTCCGTGTCTAACAAGTGCCGCTCAGCACTCTTTCCCGCTGCTAGTCTCTTTGTACGTTTCCCGTGCTTTTGCACTGCTTTTTGGCTTGGTACCAGCTAAATGCCTCCCTTGCTTGGCACTGCTCTCCCCCGCTCGACTCCCCAGGATGACAACGACTCCGCGGATGCCCTCTATGAGCGCAACAGGGGCAGGGGCGCGGCAGCGCACGGGGGGGAGGCGCAGGCTCGCGCGGGCGGCAAGGAGCAGCCCGCGGGGGCTGAGGGGTTGCGCCTCAGTGTGGACACGGACGGCGCGGGGGGCGGAGGCGGAGGGGGAGGGGGGATTTTCTTCTGGCGGAATAAGGATGCTTCCCCGCGCCATGCGTCCCCCCTGCGCGGACGGTTTGGGCGCGACCCTTCCCCTGCACGCGTGCATGCGCAGGTGGCGGAACCGAAGGATGCGGGGAAGGAGAAGCAGCATGGGGCGGTGAGAGTGAGATCGCAATCGAGAGGGAGGGAGAGAGAGAAGGAGAAGGATCGGGAAAAAGAAAAGGAGAGAGAAAGGGAGAAGGTAAGGGAAAGGGAGCGGGAGAAGGATAGGTACAGGGATAGGGATGAAGACAGGTACAGAGACAAAGAGAGGGAACGAGAAAGAGGCGGGGACAGGTACAGGGAGAGAGAAAGAGAGAGAGACAGGAGCAGAGGCAAAGAGCGGGAGAGGGAGAAGGAAAGGGAGAGGGAGCATGAGGAACGTGAGAGGCTTAGAGAAAGAGAAAAGGAGCAAAGGGAGAGGTTAAAGGAGCGCGAACGGGAGAAAGAGAGGGAGAGGAGGGAAAAAGAGAGAGAAATGGAGAGGGAGAGGGAGAGGGAAAGAGAAAGGGAAAGGGAGGCGGAAAAAGAAAGGGAGCGCGAGAGGGAAAGGGAGCGGGAGCGAGAAATGGCCAAGGAGAAAGAGAAGCAGCGGGAGATGGAGGCAGCCATGGTGAGGGAGCGGCAGAGACAGGAGCAGGAGGAGAGAGAGAAGGAGAAGGAGCGGGAGAGGGAGAAGGAGAGGGAGCGTGAAAGGGAGCGGAAGCGGCAGGAGCAGGAGCGGCAGCGGAAGCTACTGGAGGAGCAGCAGAGGGAGGAGATGCGACAGGCGGAGGAGGAGCTGGAGGAAGAGGCGAGGCGGGTGAGAATGGAACGCGAGTGGCAGCGGCAGCAGCGGGAGGAGGTGAGGCGGCGCCAATACGCCTTAGACTCTGCCTCAGACGGGACCTCTCAGGGGGGCATGCCGGACGCCTTGTCTCCTGCGCTCACCCCGTCCGTGGGCGCGACTGGGATGGGGAACACAGGGCTGGAGGGGAGCGAGTATGGGGAGAGGACGCCAGGGGAGATGACTGGGGAGAATGAGTATATAGATGAGCTGCAGGAACTGCAGTCGCCTGGCGGGATGGGGTCTATGGGCGGTGGCGGTGGTGGTGGTGGTGGAGGTGGGGGTGGTGGGGGGGGTACTCCTATGACTGGTATGTCGCCCCGTGGAGCGTTGGGAAGCTGGAGTAAGGGGCCAGGGGGGACGCCTCAGACGCCGGTTAGTATGGTTGGTAGCACAGGTACGGTTCCTGGGACTGCTGGCACTGGCGCGGGGTATAAGCCCGCATGGGCGGAGTCCGGCGGTGCGAGCGCGGCAGGCGGGGGGATGGGCGCGGGCGGCGGTGGTCCGGGGGATGGGCACCTGGTTTCCCCGCCCTCGAGTATGAACTCGTCGCCTGTGGCTACTCCGCAGCACCAGCAGCAGCACCAGCACACGCGCCTGGCGTATCCTGAGTATTACCAAACGTCTGGTAGGGCAGGCAGCGGGGGAGGTGGCGGGAGTGCTGCTAGCGGCGCAGCCAGCGCCGCATATGGGAACCACCACCAGGGGGGAGCGCGCGGGGGAGGGATAGGGGGAGGCAGCGGAGGAGGAGGCAGCGCGGGCGCCAAGGGGAACGGCGCGCTGCCTTCGCCCAGCGCAGGCGCCATGTCGCCTGTCCCTGCTGGTCCCATCCCCGACGGGTTCAGCCCCTTAGGCTCCGTGGGAAGCTCGCTGACAAACCCTCTCGGGGCAGTGCACGGGCGCGGCGGAGGAGCAGCGGTTATGCGGGACTATCCGGGGGAGCTGGCGGCGGCGGAGGCGGCTATAGAGGAGCTGCAGCGGGACTGCGTGAAATACCAGCTGAACGCGCGGAATCTTACTAGAGAGGTGGAGAGCCTGAGAAGCCAGCTAGCTGAGGCGATCACGCAGGACCAGAGGGCTGATATTGCGATAGGGGAGTTGAAAGGGGAGAGGGATCAGCTTCAGGAGGAGCTGAACCAGCTGCGGATGGGAAGGGGAGGAGGGGAAGTGGGCGCCGGGGGGATGGGGGAGGGGAGCGAGTGGAGCTTGGGCGGGCCCGGGGGCATGCGCGGGGGGATGGGGGGCGGAAGGGAGGTGGAGATGCTGATGGAAGAGGTGGAGTATCTCAAGGGCACGGTTGATAGCTTATCAGCGCAGCTGGAGGTGTTTCAGCGGGACAACGTGGAGCTGTCTAAGTCGCTGGAGGAGGCGGAGAGAGAGGCGGGGAAGTACAGGCGGGACGCGGAGGAGCTGTTTGAGGATAGGCGGGAGGCGCAAGCGGTGGCGAAGCGGCTGCAGAAGCAGATGGAGGAGAAGGAGGCGGACTGGAACCGGCGGCTGGCGGAGCTTGCGCAGGGGAACGGGGGGATGGACGGGTTGGGTCTGAGCGGGTTGGGGGTTTCGGAGGGGATGGGCGGCGTGGGAGGGAGCGTGCAGTCGTCGGTTAAGAGGAGTTTGTTTGGCGGGGCGGACAGGCGCGCGGGGCTGGTTCCGCGGAACCTGAGGGATGAGCTGGAGCTCGCGACGGAGAGCGAGGGGGAGGTGCGGGGCGGCGGAGGCAATAAGCGGTACGCGGGGTATGACGGGCAGGAGAGTAGCGGGACGGCGGGCATGACTTGCGATGAGAGTGTGCTGTTAGAGCTCCAGCAGAAGGTGGAAGAACTGGAGAAGGAGGCGCAGGAGCTCACAGCGGAGAGTCTTGAGTTAGCAACGGAATTGAACACGGCGAATAAGGAGGCCGAGCAGAAGGATGTGCTGATCGAGCAGCTGAAGCAGGAGTTGGTCGCGGCGAGAGGAGGGAGAGGCCTCCCGGCGAGTATAGCGCAGCTGCTCCAGGCGAAGCCCAAGCCGAAGCCGTATCAGCCCGTGCAGCTGCGGCAGCAGCGCCCTGCGCCGCCCCCCCCGCCTGCTCCCCCTGCCCCCTGCTTGTGTCCGAAATGCTCTGAGCCTTCCGCCCCTGCGCTCTGCGCCAAGTGCACTCCCCCTCCCCCTCCCCCGCCCCCGCCTGTGGCTCCATCTCCGCCCCCGCCCCCGCCCCCTCCCCCTGCTCCTGTGGTAGAGGAACCTAAGAAACCAGAGGTTGCGGCGAAGGCTGTGAGCAGCGAGGGCAGCAGCAGCGTGTCCGAGGAAGATGCGCGGAAGCTGCAGGCGCGCGTGCAGGAGCTGCTGGAGCAGCTGCGGGTGCAACGGGTGGAGGCACAGGCCGCCAAGGAGGAGGTGGTGCAGCTGCGCAGCAAGGTGCGCGTCAGTGAAATGGCCACCCAGAGGGCGAACGACAGGCTCAGTATCTTAGAGGAGTATGAACGGAGGGCTAGGGAGGTGGAGGCGGAGTTAGAAAGTACCAAGAAGCTGCTGGCGGCGGGGCGGCGGGCGAGGGAGGAGGCGGAGAGGAGGCACGAGCTAGAGGTGGAGCATTTGAAGGAGGCGCGGGCGGATGTGGAGAGTCAGTTGACTAGGTACGTGGAGGAGGTGGGGCGGCTGGAGAAGAAGTGTGCTGATGAGGGCCAGGCAGGGAAGGAGCTGAGTGAGAGACTGGCTGAGGTGCTGGAGAATGGGGTTGGTGGGATTGATCTGGAGGATTCTGCGAGTCTGGCTGCGAGGGCTGAGGGGTTGGATCCTGCTGGGAAGGTGGCACTGCTTGCTGAGGTGGCGTCTAAGTGGCGCGCGCGTGCCGCTGAGCTGGCGAAGGAGAAGGAGAAGCTGCGAGAGGAGAAGGACGACGTGGAGGGGAAAATGGAGGAGCTGGAGAAGGGGATGGGGTCGTGGAGGAGCGATAGGGCGGGGTTGGAGAAGCAGGTACGGCTGCTGGACGAGGGGAAGAGATTGGCGGAGTCCCGGGTTCAAGAGGTGGAGCTACAGCTGTCTGCCATGCAGGAGCTTCTAGATGATGCCAAGGCGGATTCTGCTGCTGCTGTGAGGCGCAGCAACGGTGGTATGAGCGCCAGCGAGGTGGAGGAGATGAGGGAGAGTAATCAGAAGGCGAGGAGGCGGATTGTGGAGCTTGAAGGGCAGGTGAAGGCGCTTGAGACGAGGCTGGCGGAGTGGGAGGTGAGGGAGCTGTCTGGTTTGGGCAGTGGGGATCGGCGCGGGAAGAGCAAGGAGCTGGAGGAGGCTCGGAAGAGGGTTGCCGAGCTTGAGGCGGAGGTTCGGAAGGTGGCTGGGGAGTCCGGGGCGGGGAAGAGGGAGGTGGAGATGAGGGTGCTGCGCCTGGAAGGGGCGTGTGGGAAGCTAGAGGCGGAACTGCAGGAGGCGAATACGGGGAAGAGAAGGGCAGAGGAGAGGGTTGCAGAGGTGCAGGCTCAACTGGTAGTGGTGACATCTGAGGCCAAGGCAGAGACAGGGAGAGCAAAGGAGCTTGAGGGGCGGTTGCAGCGAGCGGAGGCGAGAGAAGGGGAGCTGATGAGCGAGGTGCAGGGGCTTGAGGGACGGTTGAAGGAGGTGGAGCGGGAGAAGGAGCGGTTTAGTCGGGTGCTGGGGCAGGAGGAGGCGAAGCGGGAGGCGGCAGAGGCGAGGGCGGTAGCAGGGGAGGCGGCGGGGGAGAGGGTGAGGGAGCAGATGGGGAGGGACCTGGCGAGGATGAAAGAGGTTGAGGCGAAGCTAACAGCGCGGTTGCAAGGGGTGGAGAGGGATAGGGATGAGGCAAAGACGAGGGCGGGCAAGGCAGAGGAGGGGCAGAGGCGGGAGAAGGAGGAGAGGCAAGCGGCTGTAGCACGGCTACAGGCGGAGGTGCAACTGCTGACAGAGCAGCTATCCGCGTCTGTGAGCGCGAGTGGTAACTTAAGAAGGGAGAATACGAGTGCGGTGGAAGCGGCTGAGCTGAGGGCTGCTAAGGGGAAGCTGGAGGATCGGTTGAGGCGAGCGGAGGCTGAGCTCAGGGATGCGATAGCTGAGAGGAACAAGGCGGAGCTTGAAGTGGAAAGTCAAAGGCGGGCTGTGGCTGCTGAGAAGGCTGCAGCGCGCAGCAGAGAGGCCGCGTGGGCGGTTGAGGCTGAGGGGCTGAAGAGGGAAGCAGCAGAGGCGGGAGAAGCAGTGGTGAAGCTGAGGGGGGTTGAGGAGGAGCGGGACGAGCTGATTCGGCAGCTGGGGGAGGCGGAGGCGGGTGTAAAGCGGTTGGAAGCGGTGAGGGAGGAGCTTGAGGGGGAGAAGCGGGCGTTGGTGGCCCAACAGGGGATCATGGCTGCGAAAGTGAAGGAGTTGGAGCGGGTGAAGAGCGATTTGGTGGCTTTACGGACGGAGAAACAGGTGCTAGAGGAGAGGAGGCTTACACTCTCGCTTAAACTGGCTAAGATGGAGGAGGGGCTGAGTGAGCTGGAGGATTTGCGGGCCAAGCATGTGGTGCTGGAGGGGGAGGTGGGGGAATTGGCGGCTAAGGCAGGGGAGGTGGTGGGGTTGAGAGAGGAGAAGAAGCGGTTGGAAGGAGTGGTGAGGGATTTGGAGGAGCGGGTGGAGCAGCTGGCGAGTGTGTCTGGGGGGGGTGGGTCTGCGGGTGGTGGGGGTATTGGGGGGGGAGCGGGAGGGGCGGTGGCGAGTGCATTGGCAGAGGAGGTGCGGCAGCTCAAGCAGCAGAATGGGGAGTTGAAAAAGCAGTTGGCGGAGGTGAAGGGAGAGGGGGATGGGGGGATGGGTGTGGGCACTGTGGGCATGGGCGCTGGTAGCGCAATGAAAGGCAGGCCAATGGGGGGAGGCGGAGGGGGGATGATGGGCGGGGGAGGGGGCGGAGCATTCGCCCGCGGGGGGCGGGCGGGGGGGATAATGTCCGCACGTGGGGGAGGGGAGGGTGGGGCGGAGAGGCAGGTGGAGGAGCTGAGGAAGAGGACGATGGCTCTGGAGGGCGAGCTGCAGCGCAAGGCAGAGGCGCTGGCTGCTGCTGAGCGACAGCTGGAGGCCGCGAAGCAGGCTGCATCTGGGGGAGGTGGCGGGATGGAGAGCCAAGTGGGCAAGCTTGAGGTGAGAGGCGGGATCTCCTTTGGGGGGAGTGGAGAGGTGAGGGGATACATGAGAGATTGTGCTGGGGAGCAGAAGGAAGCTGCAAAGTCTGTGTTGGCTTCCGTACCAGAAACCTTAACATCGTTCTCCTCTCTCAACCCATCTCAACCCTCTGAACCCATGTGCACCCCTTGCAGGACCAAGTGCGGTCGTTGGAGCAGTCTCTAGAGAGCAGCAGAGCCACAGCAGAGGCGAGGGAGCGCAGCCTGACAGAGCGGCTGGAGCAGCTGGAAGCAGCCAACGAGCTGCTGGGGAGCAGAGGAGACAACGCCACTGCCAGGCTGAACCAGGAGGTAGGGATGGCCTCTTGGTTAAAGGGTTATTGGCGTGAGCATGGGATGGAGGTCACATGTATGGGATTGGGGGGTATGTGCATGGGATGGGGAGTGCTTGCATGGGATGGAGGACTGTGCATGGGGGGGAGATCGTATCAACAAGGATTCAAAATTCAGGACACATTTCACATGCCACATCATGCGATCTGCAATGATCCCTCAACACAACTTCCTGCACTCCCCAAGCCCTGCGTCCCTTCAGTTGCGCAAGGTGCAGCAGCAGGTGGGTAGGGTGCGAGTGAAAGAGGCGCAGCTTCGTTTGCGGTGCCTAAAAAACTCATCCCCTCATAACGCCCACGTTAACCCTCTTCCCCAAACGTGCTCCCCCCGACCCCATGTGCCATGTGTTCCCTTATCTCCAGTTGCGCAAGGCGCAGCAGCAGGTGGGGGAAGCACGCGTGAGGGAGGCGGAACTGCGGTGTGCGCTGGCAGCACTCAAGGGGTCCGGCACAGAGGCACACACACAGGAGGTGAGGGACATGGGGTGAGGGGTGGGAGGGGTGGGAGAGGTGGGATGGGTGAGAGGGGTGGGAGAGGTGGGAGGGGTGGGAGAGGTGGGAGGGGTGGGAGGGGTGGGAGGGGTGGGAGGGGTGGGAGAGGTGGGAGGGGTGAGAGGGGTGGGAGAGGTGGGAGGGGTGGGAGAGGTGGGAGGGGTGGGAGAGGTGGGAGGGGTGGGAGGGGTGGGAGAGGTGGGAGGGGTGGGAGGGGTGACTACTTGTGGTCATTGGGTCGGACGCTTATTGCACCAAACGCTCTACACTCAACACATATTGATCGCTTATTGGAGCTCTCCTTTAGGTGCCAAAAATAACGCTATCTTGAGTACGATCTCCATCCACTCCTCCCATATCACCACAGGACCCTCGCAAGGCAGCAGCGCAGCGCATGGCGAGTGGCGTGGCGGAGAGAATGGCGATTCTGGAAACGGAGCTGGCAGAGGCTCTGGAGGCCAACAACCGTTACAAGGAGCAGCTCAAGCGGTGAGTGAGGGGTAGCTGGTGGGAGCTCGTGGGACTGTGTCCAGGCACAGAGTAGGACGCAAGATGGAGGCAGAGCTGGCAGAGGCACTGGAGGCCAACAACCGTTACAAGGAGCAGCTCAAGTGGTGAGTAAAGTGGGGTTGGTGAGAGGTGGGTGTGAGTCTGAGGTGCCTAGAAGGGCACTCTCTCCTGTCCCTTTTTCAGTGGACTGTTCCCAGTCTTCTCCCTGTTCCTCACCACCTGACTCAACTTCGTTTTCTTGTTTTTTTTTTTTTCGTCCCTGCCCTCTACCAGTGCAATGGCGAGCGCAGGGGCAGCAGACAGCAGTGCAGCACAGCAGTCACACGAGGGTGAGCTGGCAGCAAGGCTTGCTGACATGGCAGCACAGCTGGAGGAATCCAAGCGGGCGGCGCAGGCAGCAGAGGGTGAGCTGGCACGATTGAGGGCGGAGCATGAGGCCTTTGCTGCCAGGCTGGCACAGGCTGATGTGGACAAGAAAGGGGAGAGAAAGTCTAAAGGAGAAGTCGAGCGGAAAGCTGAGAAGAAGGATGAAAAGAAGAGGGAGGAGAAGAAAGAGGAGAAGGAGGAGAAGAGGAGGGAGGAGAGGCGCCTGGGTTCAAGGCCTGCCAGTCCAAGAAGCAAGGTGGGGGGGATTACCAGCAGCTCTGCCACTCCTGCCAGTGCGAGTGCGGCCAGGCTGGGCAGAAGCAGCAGCTCCAGAGGCATGGGTCTCGTCTAGAGGGACAGTACCAACCGGAGGCAACTAAGATAATGGGGGTCATCTGGAACCCTGGCATGGCAATCATTCTGCTCGCCCTGCGCATAGTGAAAAGGCTGTAAAGTAGCCTTCACCTGGCACAAGTACGGTATGTATGGTTTCGGGCAGATGGGATATTAGGGGGTCAAAGGGACATCAATTCGTTGTCCATTAGTTGGTAGAAGTGGGTTTGAGGCTAGTAGTAGCACACCTTGCATTATGTAGACTGCAACTCATGTGAGAGCTTGTAGTGGCACAAAGTAGACAAGCAAAAAGCGGTTAAACTTCAAAGATAAAGGAATCCCCTGGTACTTGGGTACTACAAGCAAGCAGAGTGTTGTAGACTGTAGTGATACTTTCTTTCAAATAGGCTTCAAATGATAAAAATCAATAATTTTAATTGGGTTCCCAGTACCACACGTCAGTAGTCCAATGGTTAGGATATTTGCCTTCCAAGCAAAAGATCCGGGTTCGATTCCCGGCTGACGTAAGGCCCTTTAACGAACTCCAGTTTTGGTTTCCCCGCCTTCTCCCAGCCCACTTCCTCCATAACCCCTTCTTCCCATTTCCCGCTCCTTTTCCACTCTTCAGGCTCCTGTCTTACTCAATCCCCTCATTGGTCTCCTCAAATGCATGAAATTATATCGATTGGTACCTCAGGCACTATATCATGCACCTGAGATTATCTCCTCAATAGTGGTACAACCGCTTCACCCTCCCTCCCCTCCCCACCCTGCTTTGAGCTTCCGACTCACTTCCATTTTTTAAGCACAGTATCACATTCACCAATCAGCTCGCCTTCTCCTAGTGGTTTGTAGTACATGAGAATACCATATTCGCCCGGATAGTAGACCCCCCCCCCCCCCGGAATACTAAACCCAGGTCTATAATAGGGGTGGGGGGAATCTAATGCCATGCATTTCCAGAGATCAGACCCCCCCTGGACGTGCATACGGGTCTAGACCCCCCCATGGGTCTTTTGCTATGCATTTGTTAGGTACCAATAATTCTCCTTGATTATCCCAGTCTGCGTGCCAGCTCAGCAATGGCGAGCCCGTACAGCGAGGAGGGGTTGTAGCGCAGGATGACATGGAAGTTGTGGCATGCCAGGTAAGCAACGCCAGCTGGACCGTCAGGTGCAACCTGGGGGAGGTGGGGTCGGATTGATAGAAGACAGGTGGAGGCGGAGCAACCATGAGCAACAGTCCCGGAGAGAAAGGAAGAAGTGGAGTGAGCAATGGGCTGTTAAAGGGAGGGAGCAAGCACGGCCCTAGGGAACCAGTGAAACATGGAGGGTGAAATGGACTTGAGGCAGGAGGAAGCAGCCTTTCTTGAGATGCGTCGATCAGCAGTGCCTCATGATCACAAGAGCGGAAAGCATCAGTGTCCCAAAACATCGGTGCCTACGATGTAAGTGGGGGTAGAGAACGAGTAAGCAGCGAAAAAGGAGCAGCGCAGAAGGGTGAACGAAAAAGATGAAATATTGGTAGGTGAGAAGGAGAAGGTTGGATGCATTGGCAAACGAAAGGGAGTGCAGTAAGAGGCGTACGAGATTGGTGAACATGTCAGGCGGCAGATTTGTGGCAGCACTTGCACTGCTTCCATCCCTTAAATCGCTTTGATAAACTTCATTGCCTTCATTGCTTCCACTACTTTGAACGTTTCGACCAGCAATTATGACTCCGTGCTTCTGCTGCCACTCCGCCACGGTGAGTTTCACGGCGGGCTTTAAGAGCGAGAGCGGGAGGTCCGGGGGGACGACCACCTGAGAGAGGGGGCGAGGGGGCAGGGAGATTCGCTCAATCAGTGAGGGCTATTTCCAACTCCATGCTGCCATAACAGGGACATGAGAGGGACATGAGAATCAGAGAGCTTGCCTCTTACCTCAACCCCCACTGGCTATCCCAGGCGGCGCCAACGGTTGCACTTTAGGTAGTTTGCCATTGATGCTAGTGTGTACTGGGTAACGCAGTAACACAAGCCCTGCCCGACTGTCTCTTGAATTCAACACAAAGTCCTTGAATTGAATCTAGCCCAGCAACTCGCCTCCTCCACGACCAGCAGCTCCCCTTGTCGCCATTGGTTGCACCGGAAGTGGTTTGCCTCTGATGTTACATCGACCTTGTAACACAGAATTTCATTGATTCGCTCACCTCACCCCCCACCGGCTCTCCTCGCCTCCACCGGTTGCACTTGAGGTAGTTTGCCATTGATGATAGCGCACGTGCGAGAAGAGGAAAATGAGGGAAGCATAAGAGTTCCACAACTTGCCTCTCACCTCAACCCCCACCGGCTCTCCTCGTCTCCACCGGTTGCACTTGAGGTAGTTTGCCATTGATGCTAGCACGTCGGGAACTGAAGTCCAGATGTCTGATTGAGGCAATGCAGTGCATATGGGAAAAGAGAGGCGAGATGAGAAAAAGAGGCGAGAGGATAGGGCAACGTAACGTTTGCCATTGATGAGAGCACGTCAGGAACGGAAGTCCAGATGTCTGCATGTGAAGGGATGAGGCACATCCAGAATGGATGACGCACAGAAGGGAAAACAGAGGTGAGATGAGAAGGGAAGAAGAGCGGGGCTCCATGAGAAGTGGTTTGCCATTGAAGTACAGTCCTGTGATTCTGTCTGTTGAAAGATTAGCGTTTCACATGTAAGGATTAGCTTTTCCTTTAGACAGATTACTCGCTCACCATTCCCATTCGTAATCCAGAGCATAGGTATTGAAGGACGAAGGCATGAACTGACAGGGGAAAAGGGTAACTGAATAGACGTTTACACTGTGAGCTGGACAATCAATCCCTCTCTCACCTCTCCTCCCATCGCCCCTGCATATGACCCCAGCAGCCGCACCCTCTAACCCCCACTGACCCATAGCTCCTGCGTACGACCCCAACAACCGCAAGTCCCTCTGCCCTTGCGACTACACCGCAACCATGGTATAATAAAGCACCACCGTCACTTGTTGCTCACCTCTCCGCCCATCTTTATCATAGTCCACAGCATATGCGTTGAAAGACGAAGGCATGAACTGGCATTGACCCATCGCCCCTGCATACGATCCCAGCAGCCGCACCCTCCTCTCTCCCACTGCCGTTGCAGCTGTATCAGCAGCAGCAGCAGGAACCGGAACAGCAGGAACAGCAGGAAGGCCTCTTGTTGCTACAGAAGGCCCGTGGTTGTTCTGGAGGATCGAAAGGGCTTCCATCAGCTCTTCCCGAAAGAAGGCAGCACGACGGGGCTGCACGAAAAAAGGGAATGGAGGAGAACAGGGAACTGGGTGGTGGGAGTGCAGTGCAAGAGATGGCCCTTGGCCTTGATTGTTCTCAAGGATGAACAGCGCTTCCATCGGCTCCTCCCGGAAGAAGGCAGCGCGGCGAGGCTGCAGAGAGAAAAAGGAAGGGAAGAGAAAAGGAACACGCTGGTGGGAATCTGCTGCTATGGAAGGCCCTTGGCTGTTCTGGAGAATCGACAGCGCTTCCATCGGCTCCTCCCTAAAGAAGGCAGCACGGCGGGGCTGGTTGGGAAAGGAAAGGGAGGAGAAGGTGATTGGCAGGAGTGCAGTGCGGTGGAAAGCCCTTGGTTGTTCTGGAGGATCGACAGCGCTTCCATCAGCTCTTCTCGGAAGAAAGCAGCACGGCGAGGCTGGGTGGGGACAGGAAGGGAATAGAAGAAAGCGGGAATGGTTTGAGCTGGAGGATCGACAGGGCTTCCATCAGCTCCTCCCGGAAAGAGGCAGCATGGTGGGGCTGGTTGGGAAAAGGGAAGAGAAGTAAACAGGAAGTGGATGGTGGGAGTGCAGTGAAACAGAGAGCCTTTGACCTTGGTTGCTCTCAAGGATCGACAGGGCTTCCATCAGCTCCTCCCGAAAGAAGGCAGCACGGCGAAGTTGTAAGGGCAGGGAGTCAAAGAAGGGAGGAGAAGGGGAACTGGATGGTGGAGAGTAGGTGCGGTTGAGAGGACTCCAAACAAGCAAAGAATCAAGAAAAAATGAAATATTTGGTGAATGTTAAGTGGAGCACAACAAAACTCCACAACCCACCACACCACACCACACCAAGCCACACCACACCGCACTACACCACACAACCTTACCTCTCATCAGCTTCTAATGATATGTAAGGGTGAACAGAGCCTGGATGGCGTCTAGCCTGTACCACAGCACCGCATTCATAGCCTTGGACTGCACCATACCACACCGCACCGCACCACATCACACTACACTACACCACACCACACTACACCACACCACACCACACCACACCACACCATACCACACCACACCACACCACACCACACCACACCATACCACACCACTTCTCACCTGCTTTGTGCGATACGCAAGGGTGAGCAAAGCTTGAATGGCGTCCCACTTGCCCATGTTCTTCCCATAGCTGCCACATCAGCAGGCACACAATGCAGGTCAGCAATAAACCTGAGTCGCTTTGAAGGACTCTTGAAAAGCACAACCATTGAGTGCATTACCCCCTCACGGCACTACATGTCCGTTCCGTGCATATGAACCCTCACCCCTCACATGCACCGCCATGGCCCAAGGCATGTTCATGCATCCCGTGTTGGCACATGCATACATGTGATAACACGCATCCTCGTTATAACACGCATCCTCGTTATAACACGCATCCTCGTTATAACACGCATCCTCGTTATAACACGCATCCTCGTTATAACACGCATCCTCGTTATCACTCGCATCCTCGTTATAACATCCATCGTCGTTTTAACATACATCCTCGTTATAGTACCTGCTCTCGATGCCCCACAGCGCAGTCATCACATTGGCCGGCACGCCGTATATCTCCTCGATCTCCGCCAGAAGCTTCCTGTGAGCTTCCATCACCTGCCTCCCTTCCAGCACCCGTGCATCACTCACTATCCTGCATTGCACCATGAACCAACCAAATCAATTCACTTATAGGGGATGCGCACGGAACCTACACATGATCGTGGGTTACAATACATGTTAATGCCCACGTACCTACACATGAGAACCTTGTTTGTACACCCATGGGGGGAAGGATGGATACATGCACGTAAGGACACATCACCTTCGAAACCACAGCTCCCTGTCCATGCATATACTACTCACCAATTGCTCTTTACACTCACCTATCCACATACTGCCGTGCAGTCAGTACCACTTCAGCAGCGCCAGTCACCTTAGACACCACAGCAGGCAGCGGCTGCAGCCCTTCCAACACCCTCCTCACATTACCGTCTCCCCACACTTCTTGTAAGTCAATCAACCTTCCCCAGTTCTCACCTGTCCACGTACTGCCGTGCAGTCAGCACCACCTCCGCGGCACCAGTCACCTTGGACACCACAGCAGGCAGCGGCTGCAGTCCTTCCAAAGCCTCCCTCACTGTCTCCTCCGATATGCCCCGCGCTACTGCCTCATCCCACACCCCCTGCAGCCATATCTCATACTCTAGCGCCTCCCTTTCCCTCTCCCTCTCCCTCTCTCTTTCCCTCTCCTTTTCCTTCTTCATTTCCTTCTCCCTCTTCCTTAATTCCTCCTTTACCCTCCTTGCCTCATCTCTCTCTCTTCTCCTAAATTCACTTGCACTGACTCCCCCTTGACTGCCCCCGTTGACTTGACTGACTTCCTTGGCATGTCCCGCTTCTCCCCTCACCACTCTAACACTCTCCTTGCCTCCCTCCCATGCCCTGTGCCGGCTCAATCTCTCCTTATCAGAACCATGACTGCTGCTGCCACTGCTACTACCAATTATCCAGTTCGACCCTCCTCGTCTCCTCTTCCCACTCTTCTCCCTCCACCACCGCTGCTCAGCAGTCTCCTCCAGCTCCTGTCCATTTCTTCCCCGTCTCCAAGAAACCAGCTGCACATGCTTCACTGCATCACCACGACCTGCACAGTCTCTCATCATATCACACAACACAACCCTTGGTCCATCCATCGCAGCACCGCGTAGCACCCCTTCGTGTCTGAAATCCACCGCTCCTAACCTCGCAGCACCCTCTTCAAAATGCCACACCACTCTTTTCACACCCACAAGAGACTTCTGTCTCGACTCAAAGGTCACAAACTGCTGCTCTCCTTGCCTCAGCCCTCCACTCCCTCCCTTCCCTCCCCTCCCTCTCAGAGCACTAGCAGCAGCGACTAGAAGAGCCAGCAGCAGCAGCAGCAGCACAGTGACTCCAGCAGCCAACCAGCGGGCAGCATGGGTCATCACCCCCCCTGCTAGCTGCTTCCCCACTGTTTCCTTGAGAGCTGTGGCACATGCAGCCAGTAACGACGCCCACCACTGCTGCAGCTGCTGCAACCCTGATCGCTTCTTCTCTCCACCTTCCTCTTCCCCCATCCCTTCCGCTTTTCTGTTTCCCCTCTCCTCCTCTTCCATCCTTGGTCTCTTTACCTCCTGGGAGTGTCCGGTAGGGTCTGGTGGGTCCTCCATTGAAGCACCTCTGCCATTAGTCACACCACCCGCCTTCGCACCAAACCCCCCCTCGCTATAACCTCCATCCCTCTCCCTAACAGCACCGCTCTCTAGCACATTACAACCACAGCCACTACAATCATCACCAGCAGCAGCAACATCCGCAATGGCATATCCATCACTGCCCACCACCACCACTGCAGCGGCGCCACCATCAACAGCGTACCTTCTCCTAGCAATCTGCCGAGCAAAGGCAGCACTGCCGCCAACAGAACCCACCACCAACCCCCCACGAGCAGCAGCAGCAGCCGCAGCGGCAGTGGTTGCTAAGAGAGAGACGCTGACAGTAGCAGTGGCAGCTTTTCTTATAGCACGTAGTCTTTCAGGAGTGGCAGCAGTAGCATCCGCAAGTAACCCAGCTCTTTGCCTCAATGTTTCTTTCAGCAGCGGCTGGACCAGCTGGGTCAACGCTTGGGAATGCTGTTTCAACGCCTGTGCATGTTTCCTGAGCGTCTTCCCTTGCTCCTTCGTTGTTAAAGAGGTTCGAATCCGCAACCTAACCCGCTTCTGACGTGTTTCCTCTGAACCTGAACTTGTTGCAACACCTGCAGTAGCTATACCTGCCGCCGAAGCTACACCTGCCGAAGCTACACCTGCCGAAGCTACACCTGCCGAAGCTACACCTGCTGAGGCTCCCTCACCTGTTTCTGCCCTGTCCTGTAATCCATCTCCACCTGTACTCACTGCATTGGACCGGTCAACCAAGCGTTGACTCAGTCTCCTCCTCCACCCACCAGCCTGATCCCTCAGCGTGCCTCTGACGCGTTGACCGGTGCGTTGACCCAAGTCAAAGACAGAATCCGGAATTTCACCCACGTTTAGGTCAGAAAACGGCAGTTGAACCGAATTCTGTCCAGCCTTATGACCTGCCACTTCTGCCAGTCTGCCTTTAACGCCTTGACCAGTGCGTTGACCCAAGTCAAAGACAAAATCAGGCAAATGAACCAACTGCTCCCCTGCCTTGTGACCTGCCAATCCTCCCAGCTTGCCTTTCACGCGTTGACCAGTGCGTTGACCCAGGTCAAAGACTGCATCCGGCAGTTGACCCAAATTTTGCCCTATCTTATCACCTGCCAAGTCGCCCAACCTTCCCTTTACGCGTTGACCAGTGCGTTGACCCAAGTCAAAGACAGAATCCGGCAGCTGAGTCAGCTTCTGCCCGGCCTTCCGACCTACCTCGTCCGCAGCCTGGGTCAACGCTCTAGGTGCCTCCGCAGCCACGTCAGCAGCTCGTTTCAGCCTACCAGACACCTCTTTTATCGGAGCAGCAGACTCCTTTAGTTTACGAGGGACGTTAGTAACCAGAGAAGCTGCGTTTCTCACAGCAGCTGCAAAAGCTGCTCTCTTGCTCCCAGCACCGCCACCCTTGCCAGTCTGACTCGTTTCAACAATAATCTCTTCTAAAATCCCTGTTGGAGCGTCTTTCCCGTCTCTCTCAACCTTCTCCGCCCCTCCACATCCCTCTCCTCTCCTCTCCTCTCTCATCCCCCCCTCCTCATCCTCCCCATCGCCCTGCACCTCACCTTCCCCGTCGGCAATCCCTGAGCTCACACCCCCCTCCACCACGGACGCGACAAGCCGGCACTTGCGACCAAACGGGACAACGAACGTATGTGAGAGAGGGAAAGGTGTGGCAGAGAGGAGACGTGCGTTCGCGAATGGACGGCTGCTGCTGCTGCCGCCGCCGCTGCTGCTGCGGGGATTCCTGCTGAATGCGATGTGTCGAGAAGAAACCCCGGATGTGACAATAAGCGGAAGGTGGCTACTTCGGGGGCAAATCGGCCACACAGTAGCTGCCGCGGACACAGCGGCCATCACGGCGGTAGCAGCGCGTCTCTTCCTAAGAGGGGTATAAAACCGCCATGGTCATTCAAAACAATCTTTCATGAACTCTCGAAGCTGGAAGCTTGGAAGCTCAGGCGATCTGGGTGTCGCGCAAAGATTTCTTCGTCACTCAAGGCCGAACGTGCTGATGTGGCAGTGATGGGCAGAACCGAGGTGGGAGGGTGACGTGTGGATTGACTGGTTCGCTGAAAATTTACGGGGCTGTGCTCACAACGTCCGATATTGTACAGCGCATTACAACCCAAAGTTGTCATACATCAACTAGAGATAGCAACATAGCTCACCACAAATGCCATAGACGCTCCCCCACAACGATTGTGACAAGCGCTTGGATTGAAACTCGCACTCACTTTCAATAAAAGGTGTTCGCAAAAAATGCTACCGGTACCTATCTAAGCTGTAAAATACTGACCTTGATATGTGTCACTCATAATAGTGGTGCAACTTGGTACCATGTTTATCAACTCTAAGAGGCATGCACTCTCCATGCACTCTAAGAGGTATGTCAACAAACGATTAGTACAGTAACAATCTGAATGAAACAGCTCCATCACTTCGATTCCCAGCACTTCCCCATCTGCCCTTCACTTCAATCACATTCTGTCTGTCCAGAAGTGACTGAGGCAGCACCTCTAGCTGCGAACACCCGTCCAGATCCACCTCCCTCAGACAGGACAAACCGCCCAAGTCGTTGGGCAGCGCACGTAGGCCAATGCACCCTTTTAGAGAAAGATTGACAAGGGACGGGAGGAGGGGGAGAGTGGGGGGGACATGGTGCAGACCAGGCAGGCGCTCAACCTTCAGAGATGCGAGGCGGGAGAGGGAGGAGATGGAATCTGGGAGGCTGGTGATACGGGGACAGTCGACAATGCTGAGGAATTTCAAGGAGGGCATGAGAGTGAGGGAAGGAGGAAGGCGTTGCAGGTCCTTACATGATTCAAGATGCAGGCTGAGAACATTCAGCTGCCCGAGGTTTTCGGGCAGGTGGGTAAGTAGCGGGAGAGACTTGATGGTCAGCTGTTCGAGATTTGAGAGGTCGGGCAGGCAGGCAGGAAGGAGTGGCATGGCAGAGCACTCCTCTAGCACAAGTGCTTTCAGCGCTCTCAGGTCGCTCAGGTTATCTGGAAGCGCAGGCAAACTGGTATGGCTGATATTGAGGCAGGTGAGAGAGGATAGGAGCTCCAACCTAGCTTGCCCGATGGCTACGGTGAGTCTAGGACTTGTGATGACAGGAGGATCTCCAGATGTGGCTTCCCCCTCCCATTCGGCTGGAATCTGGTGAAGGGTCGGAGGGGCTATCAGCTGCTTGAGTGAGTGGAGACCTTGAATATTCAGGCTTGTAAGGCGGCTGAGAGAAAGAAAGGACTCTGGGAGGTAGCGAACAAACCCAAAGGTGTAGGAAATGGAAATGGAGGTCAGGGAGCGAGGAAGGGAGATGGGTGCAGAAAGAGGCAGGGGGTCGACCGGTCTAGTGAAGGCCCAGACGACCTGGTCGGCAAATCTTGGCTTGTTGCAGTCTGCAAGCGTGAAATCTTCCAGCCTAGGTAGCTTAGCGAGGCCCTCTGGGAGGTATTGCAAATCGCAGCACCCGGAGATTTTCAGGCGCTGGAGCGATGGGAGAGGTATGTAGTTAAAGAGATGGGCGTTGGAAGCAACAGCACCGGCAATGATGTCAGCAATAACAGCATTAGCAGCAGCTTCAGCAGCAACACAAGTTCCTGCTTCATTGGTTTGAGCAAGAGTGGGCAAGAGCGACGGAAAGACCTGGAGACACTCGCAGTTGATAACCTCAAGCACTTTGAGGCTGGACAGATTTCCCATGCCCATTGGTAACCCCTTTAGCAGCTCGCATCGGTCTATTATCAGCTGCTCCAGACGGGCGAGGTGAACCAAGGACGGTGGAAATTGATAAAGTCCACATGACCCGTGTAAGTCAGACTCGGAAACAGCCTCTGCTTCCGAACTCCTGGGACCATCAGATAAATAGATATCAGCATCCAACCCTCTCCTGTTATAAGTATCCCTGGCACCGATCTTGAATACTCTCAAGTTCGCCAAGCCCCCAAACTCGTCAGGTAGTTCCCCGATGGCACAGTTAAACAGCTCCAATCTACTCAGCTGCGGCAGCTTCTCAAACCCCGGAGGCAACTCTTCAAGATAGGGCGCGCCATACATCTCCAGTACTTCCAGTGAAGCGAGGTTCGAGAAGGAGGCCGGGAGTTCACCCAGGTCGTAGCACGCATGCAGAATCAGCCCCCTCAGCTTCCCGAGCTGCCCGAAAGACTCGGGCAGATCCACGAGTTTGGAGCAAGACAGCTTCATAAAACTCAAGTTCTGAAGCTGCCCGATGTCTTCGGGCAGCGCCCTGACAGCACACCCGTCGAGAACCAGGCTGGTCAGGGACCCCATGGCCGAAACAGACTGCGGGAAACCCTCCAACTCCCAGCAGTCAACGATTCTCAGCTCCTTCAGCCCAGACAGCAGGCCGAGGGAATCCGGAAGAACGCTGAGCTCATCGAGAGTGTAGAGATGCAGGTACTGGAGAGTAGCAATCATACCGAGGTCTTCGGGTAGCGAGGCCATGTCAATGCAGTTGTCGACCGTGAGGCGATGGAGAGTCTGGCTGGCAGATAGGGAGCCTGGCAGTTGCGTCAGTCGCGAGCAGGTTTGAAGGTATAAGTCCTGTAGAGCGGGCAGCTGGCCGATACTCTCAGGTAATGATGTCAATGCCATCAGTTCAATCAGCTCCACTGTATCCAGATCGAACAGTTGGTGAAGGTTTTCGGGCAGCCTGGTGAGCTGCGGGCAGTGGCTGAGAGAAAGGCGCGTAAGGCTTGAAAGCTCGCAGATTGAATCTGGCAGCTCAACGACTTCTTCAAGATACGAAAGGCTGATGCTTTTCAAGTTCTGGAGCTGTCCCAATTCACTTGGCAGATGAAAAATGTCGGAGCCGCTAAAGGAGAGGCGCTCCAAGGAGCTGAGATAGCATATGGGATCAGGTGACTCACGAAACGAAAAACCCGTATAAAGTCGCAAAACCTTAAGTCCTACCAGCCTGCCGAACTCCTCTGGTAACCCGGTAACGCCTTCGCTGAGCCTCACGCTGAGCCTCGTGAGCTGCTGCAAACAGCTGATGGCAGGCGGAATCTCCGGAATGCCATCCAGCTGGAGATCGACCAATCGCGAGCAGGATTCGAAGATGGTGGCGACATCGGACGGTGCGAGGCTGGTCGACTGTTCATGGTCTCTGCTACGGTCGTGCTGCGTGGATCTCGAGAACCGTCGATCGTTCACGTACATTGTGAGATGCGTCAGGGACGAGCCGCATCCGGTGCAAATGGATCGCACGAGGTTGCTATCAATGGAGTCTGACGCGAACTTGCCGAGATGTAGGTGACTAAGATTCAAGAACCTAGATTTCGGTGGAGCGAGGAGTGAGGAGAAAGCTCGTGCGGAGAAGAGGCGATTGCGAGGCACGATGATGGCGGGATGCACGGAGCTGGCGACGCGCAGCCATCGCTTGCAGACCAGAGCGTGGCAGAACGTAACTAATGAACAAGTATCGGAAGGAGGAACCTTAGTCGTGTCTAACCACTGGCTCTCGCATGGCGGCGGCTTGTGCAATGCATTCTCAATTTTCTCTTGAAGATTGTCTTCGTCATTTGCGAGCGAATCACTGCTGTCGAGACTATTGCCGTTAGACGCAACAAAACAAAGGATCACCCCCAGCAGGTCGTCAGAAATGCGGGAAAAGATATCACCAATAATTTTCTGCTGCGTCGCTGCAAGCGGCTGGTTTGCAGCCTGAGCAAAAGGCTGCTGAGATGTTTCTGCTGGTGTTTGCGTCATGTTTTCCTCGGATGCTAGCTGAGAGGTAGGCAACACGAGAAAGAATCTAATGGAAGACTGGTAAGGCTTGTGAGAGTTGCTGCTGCTTGTGAATCAGAAAGCTACTGCTGCTTGTGAATCAGAGTTTGCTGCTGCTGGGTGCTTGTGAGTGGTACTAGCATCAGGCTGAACAGGCCTAGTTTGACAGCAACGAGACTTCGACTGGCGGGAAAGTGGCAATGAAATTTGGCGGGAAACCAGGCTCGTAATATATTCGGAGGCGACCAGGTTGGTTTGGAATGGTTTGGTTCTGGTTGGCTTCATATGGTTCGGAGCTGGGTGCATAATACCTAATACGAGATACTGTGCATAATACCAGAACGATTTTGGTGACCACACCATAGACCTTTTATTCCATACTGTCGGAGAAGAAGCTAGGGAAGAGAAGCTAGGGATTACCGTAGAAGCTAGGGATTACCTTAGAAGCTAGGGATTACCGTGGAAGCTAGGGATTACCGTAGAAGCTAGGGAAGAGAAACTAGGGAAGAGTGGTAACAAGGCATAGCGTAACACGTTTCTGTAAAACCGAGGTCTTCGGTTTTACCTGAATAACTGGGGAGAAAGGTAATTTTCTGAAAAAGAAAACCCTGGGTCCACTAGATTGCCGCTGAAGTAAGCATATACGGTACAAGATTGAACTGATAGAATGAATTATGGCAATAGAGAGGAAACACTTATCACCTACAGAGGCCTCACATTTTGTTTGAAAACGAGTCAAGGATTTTCAGCTTCTGACGGTGTCCATTTTTGTCCCTGTTGGAATAACCGAAAGGTTATATAAAGCATTCCCAAAGCTGTTCAACTGTACCAGTACCGCAATAGCTCATATAGAGCATGCGGAATGTCGAGGGTCACCCGAAGGTCAACCGTCTGAGGAAGTCAACGGTCGTGACCCTTGACAATCCAGTAACTGCGCGACAGTTAATTCACTGCAACATGGTAACTGTCGAGGATAGCAATAGTCACGGTTACTGTAGCTATGCAATACAGTTAATAAGGGAATGTACCCCTCAGGGTACATGGCTAGCTAGATTTCTATTTAATCTCTTGTACTCCTATCTTTCAATTATCTTGTTCTCTTTCAATTATTATTCAACAAGGTCACTACAGAGACTTCATTGTCTCCTCTCAGACTTAACAGATTCTATCCTATCCACTGGATCCTTCGTTACATCAGCATGGTATGAGAGCAAGAGTGGATTATACGATCTGTCAAGTTCTCGTTCTTCTCATAACAACCCCTTTATAAGGTTACTCATTACACCTCAAAGTCTACAATACTATGGCTCCTGAAGGGAAAGCTACTGCAGACTCACCGGGCCCACCATCAGCAACGACTAACGCGCCATCAGCGGTGACCTCCGTCAGCGCCGCTGTCGTTGAGGAACTAGTCGCACGCATCAACGCCCTTGAGAGCCACCAAGCAATGAGCGTTGACGGCTCAACCTATGCACGCGGCGTTGCTGGACTTCCTCTCCCTAGAGAAGACCGCCGCGTCAACTCCGAGAGATCCTTCACCTTTGACAATCGTCAAGGGTCAGCTCCTGCACAAGACATCCCACGACACCCACAGTCAGATATTGCTTCAATGCAAACCAAATTTGTACTGACTTCAAAATTGAAGACCTCAACTCCTTTCGACGGAAAGGATTTCTACACGTGGAGTTTCGAATTCGAGCTTCTCGCGACAACCGCTCAAATCTGGATGTACTACGACGGAAGCCTACCCTTTCCCTCGGAAGGCACCATCCGGGAGAAGCATCAATACAACCACGAATCCCACCTCGTGTACACCGCTCTCCTTCGCAATCTCTCACCTGAAGAGCAGCTCGGCATTCGCCCTTATAAGACGGAGTGGGCTCCCGCGCAATCCTCCTGGGAACACCTGCGCAACTCATACATGGCAACAGATCCAGTTGATGAGCCGTCTACTCAGCCAACTGACTTCAGTTAAAATGAAGCAAGGGGAGAAAGCGGGACCGTATGTCAACCGGTGCCGCAATCTGCGTGACCAAGTCAAGAAATGCAGTGGGACTGTCCCCGACGACATGTTCATCTCGATGGTCATCTCTGGCCTTGGCCCCGACTGGCGACAATGCCAGTCACTCCTTCGCGCCCGAGCAACCATATCAGAGTCAGCTCTGTGCGCCACGCTTCTTTCGGAGCAGAAGGAAATCGACCTGTACAACGAGAAGAACGTTAAACGGGAGAAATTAGTCTTCTACACAGGAGCATCACAAGGGGAACAACGCGGAAAGAAGGGAGCTTTCTGCAAATAGTGCAAGAAGTCTGGCCACTCTATCGACTACTGCTACAAGCGTCAGGCCGCTGACGAGCGGCGCAACGCCTCTGTCAGAGAATTATAGCTTATGCTTTTGTGTAGGCTGTAGTGGGGTAGCCTATATGGGGTACAACCCAATTAGGGTTAGTACTTGTACCCAACTCTTTCATAGTGCATTCATTCTCGTTCATTATCACATGGTTTCAGAGCACATATGCTCCTGGCCTGTGGGCCCTACTACTGCTTCCGCTGCTACTCGATCTGTCGCACGCCCCGTGGCGTGCGACCTATTTTACAGCGCGCGACGATTTTCTCTCTGGCGCGCGCCCCGAGGCGCGCGGCCCCGTTCCTTCTAGGCGCGCCACTCCCCGCTACCCCGTCGCGGCGCCCAGGGGAGCCGCGCGCGACCCCTCGCTGCCGCCCTAGCGGCCGCGTCTCGTTGCGGCCCCATCTCGTCGCGCCGCCCAAGCGGCCGCGTCGCACCGCCCTCGCGGCCCCGATCCGCCGCCCTAGCGGCCCCGTCACCTACCCCTGCGGCCCCGGCGCCGCCCATCCCGGCCCCGGCTCCGCCCTTCCTGGCCCCGGCGCCACCTCGGCTGGCCCCGTCGCCTACCCCGGCGACCCCGACGCCGCCCTTCCCGACCCGGCCCCGCCTCTGCTGGCCCCGTCGCCTACCCCTGCGGCCCCGGCGCTGCCCTTCCCGGCCCCGGCGCCACCTCTGCTGGCCTCGATGCCGCCCTTACCGGCTCCGGCGCCGCCTCTACTGGCCCCGTCGCCTATCTCTGCTGCCCCGGCGCCGCCCTTCCCGGCCCCTGCGCCGCCTCTGCTGGCCCCGTCACCTACCCTGCGCCCCCGGCGCCACCTCTGCTGGCCCCGTCGCCGCTCCACCCGGCCCCGCCGCCGTCCCCAAGCGGCCCCGCCGTCACCACCGAGCCGCCGGCGCCGCCGAGCTGCTACCGAGCCGCCCGAGCCACCCGAGCCGCAGCGCCACCTGAGCCGCCCGAGCCGCCGGGTCGCCGAGCCGCCGAGCTGCAGTTGCTGCCGAGCCGCCGTACCGCCGAGCCGCCCGAGCCGCCCGAGCCCCCGAGTCGCCGAGCCGCAGTTGCTGCCGAGCCGCCCGAGTTGCCCGAGCCGCCGAGCCGCAGTTGCTGCCGAGCCGCCGTGCCGCCGAGCTGCCCGAGCCGCCCGCACCGCCGAGTCGCCGAGTCGCCGGGCCTGCTCTTCCCACCACTGGTGAGCCCCTGCCCTGCTAGCGTGCAGCCCGCCGCCTGCTTGCCTGCGTGCCTGCCTTTCGGCCTGCCTGGCTGCTCGCCTTACTGCTGCTACTCCTGCTCCTGCTTCTACTGGCGGAGCCAGATGCAGCCCCAGCGACGTCCGCGTAAGTCCCTCACGCCCCAGCAGCTGCGTGAGTGGT